ATGATGATGATAAGTTGATAAGTGATAATTAAAGAAGAACGTTCAAGTTTCTTGCATTTTGACTCTGTTGGGTGTAGCCAGAATGCCAGCTATGGTATCAAAAGCTTCACTTTCAGTTTTGTTTTCTTACATCTCTAATTACTATTCGTTTTTAGTGAATCAGTTTAAAATAAGTTCATAAAATTTATTTTGCAAGTAATCATAATGTATAAGGCGTGAATTTAAATCTTATCAATAATTTTTTTTTAAAAAAGGTATTTTGTGCTTGTTGTGAGCTAGTTTTTTTTTTTTTTTTTTAAATGCTACTAGCTCTATTACATTGTAGTATCTGTTCATATACTTTCTCAACCTACTGAAACACAAAGAGCTAATAACGCCTCCACTGAGGCTTGAACTCATAACCTTCCAAATGGAAGTCCAACCCGGATACCATTGGACCACATAGTTAGTTGAGGCATATTTACGCAAATTCACAATTTATCACGGCAAAATATCAATAGACGCTTACAAAATTAAAAGTTTATAATACAACTAAGATCCCAGTCATATACATAACAAGGAAAATTCACAGTTTCTTACACCGTAATCTCAAGACACTGCCTTTCAAAAAAAAAAAAAAAAATCTCAGGGACACTGTGCACAAGTCCAACAGTAGCTCAATTGCAAATAACACACTACCAAAAGAAGAGGACAAATATAGTAAAGATATGAAGACAATAACAATGCTACTCAAAAGAGAATTAAGAATACTTAAAAAAATTCAAGCCAAAAGTAGTATTTATTTATATTACTGTATTTAGACTATCGATTTTATAAAGTTGCAAACATTTATTTTAGTGACAATTATAATGAATCTCCTATATTATCTTGTATTCATATATTTTAAAGTACATATTTAAATAAACAAATTCGACATTCAATTACTTATGTATGAACTTCTCATATATATATATATATATATATATATATATATATATATATATATATATATATATATATATATATATATATAATCTTGCATTGATATATTTTCAAATACTTATTTAATTATAAACATTAGGTATTAATTCATTTGTGTAATACGTGTGTAAAACTAATGTATATGTAGATGAAAGGAATTAAACTTATTACATTTGATCAACGACATAGCATATAGTGGAGAAACTCGAATTTGAATATTGTCTAGAAACAAGTATAACTTTGAGTCTTTGAGAGATGTTATAATGTGGTACTTAAAGATGTGGCACTTATTATTATTATTAGGAATAAGGTTCAAATTGGCCACTGAACGTAACCTGAAAATGCAATTAGGCCACTGAACGAAAAAAAAAGTGCAATTAGACCACTGAACACTCCAAAAACGTGCAATTAAGCCACTGAACTCTCCAAATGTATGCAATTTCACCGGATAGCAGGTTACCATCAATTTTAGCAGGTTACCTGCTTACGTGGCAGCTGAGTTGGCATTTTAATAATTTTTAAATAATTTTTAATAATTAATTTTAATAATAAATTTTATAAAAAAATTGAAAAAAATAAATAAAAAATAAAATAAAGGCGTTTTTATTTTTTAAAAAATTTTTTAAATAAAAATTTATTATTAAAATTTATTAAAAAATATTTAAAATTTATTAAAAATGACAACTCAGCTGCCACGTAAGCAGATAACCTGCTAAAATTGAGAGTAACCTGCTGTCAAGTGAAATTGCACATTTTTGGAGCGTTTAGTGACCTAATTGCACTTTTTTTTTCGTTCAGTGACCTAATTGCATTTTCAGGTTACGTTCAGTGGCCAATTTGAACCTTATTCCTTATTATTATTATTTTTTAAAACAATCATAACGTTTGTACCAACCTACAGAGAATCTCAAAGCATGAATAATAATGATATCATAAAAGTTAGTGAAAGAAATCTACATCAGAATTGCAGTCATAAAAGACATTGACTCCATGTCTCTCCATGCTGCAAAATACTGAATGCCATCCCAAACCAGGCAAACCATAAAGACTTATTATGCAACAACCTCTGCATACTTTCATTTTCTTTAAGAGAACATTTTAACCTTATTATATATATATATATATATATATATATATATATATATATATATATATATATATATATCAATTCTCACTCAAGAAAATGGTTAGTTAAACTTTACAATTGTATCAACAGTTTGCTTATCAATTATTTTAAAATTATTAGGTTTATTTGTTAGATATTCTATCCGACCTTAAGAGTAGCTAAACTAAATAAATTATACGAAATTCAAAGCAATGTCATGAAGTTTGGTTTGTAGCAACAAAGTACATGCACATACAAAAGTATGAAATTAAAGTTGATATCTTGCTCGCATGGACAACTCAGTTGGTTATAGAGGTAAAGTTTGGGAACAATGATTTAAGATTGAGTCTCATGGCGACAGTGTGGGAGCACCCTCTCAAAGTGAGGGAGATCATTGTGCGTTGTGAGTTACCATGATTTGTATTTTTCCAAATGTTCTGTCAGACTGGGACGTGGGAGGCCCTTGGGTTAGGGATTCAACCTTTTGACATCTTTTTTTTTAAAAAAAAAAGTAATAAATGTGCACTGATAAGTCTTAGGTGATGGGCTTATTAGTCAAATGAGAATGTGACACTTTGGTACGAAAATCATGTTTTACACACCCAATTAACCACTTCTTTAATGACTTTATACTAATTAATTTGATATATATATATGGTATTAGTTAATCTATTAAATATATGAAGTTAACAATTAAAATTATAAAAAGGGAAGAATTTATTGTGCAGTTAATGCAAAATTAAAAGTGGGAAGGCCAGAGAAACAAGAGGAAGTAAAGGGAAAAAAAGTTACATTCACACCATTTTATTATTATTATTATTATTATTATTTTGCAAAACACATTTTCTTCTACACTAATATTTGTAATTCTCTTGTTGCCAAGATTTTTGGCAAAGTGAATGGTAGCACACAGACCTAATATAATGTAGGCACACATAAGACCTCCACTAGAAGCAACCCAAAATTTCAATTTTCAAGTGGTCATAAAGGCCTAAAGGTGTGAAAACAAGCTATAAACTAGGTGTCTTGACCATTTATACTTATTACCAACATTAATATTACTATAAACTCTTCTCCCTAGGTGCAATATAATGAAGGACCATATCATGAGGATAAAACATTAATGTCTGCATATAGTTGGCATTCCCAGTTGCTACATTTTTTATTTAGCCCATATTACTATATTATTTTCTTCATAGAAAAATTATGTTAACACATAAGTACTTCAATTTCGTCAGACTAATTCTTAAAATTCATTAATCCGCACTCGAGGTTCATGTGAATGTAAATTAAGCTTGTCTAGCTTAAAGACCTAACATCAAATTGTACACTTCTATGCACAAGAAATTTAACTTAATCTCAATCTAAAAGAATTCACGTCCTAGGTCCACAAGTTTTAAATGGTTCTCAACCTCTGGACCACTGCTATGGGGACTTTAATTTATAACAATAGCATTACTTGTTTTGGATGCATACTATTTTGGTCATTCTTTTCACGAGGTGGTAGTTTTGATGGTTTTTGTTCATCAACTTAATTATTAACACAATGTTAACGATTAAAAATTATACTTTTATCAATATATTAATTAATAGGATCCACATATGTAATGCAAATGTGATCGACTTTAATCGTCTCTATTAGTGAATAATAAAAACTTTCATCACCTTATGAAAAATTAGAGGGTAACTAATGTGTATGACGTTAAATGATGGATTATTGAAATTGTAATTTTGTATAAATTTGAAGAAGAAACATCTATTTTCCTTAGTATGTAATAACACCCTCCTCCTCCTCCCTCCCTCCCTCCCTCCCTCCCCCTCTCTCTCTCTCTCTCTCTCTCTCTCTCAATATATATATATATATATATATATATATATATATATATATATATATATATATCATAGAATATTGTAATTAAAATACTTTGGCCCTGTTTGGTAAAATGGCTGTTAGCTAATAGCTGTTTACTGTTAGCTGATTGTGTTAATTAGAGAGTATAAATAGTTGATAACATTAGCTTATTGTAGAAAAGTGTTTGGTAAATTAGCTGTTAGCTGATAGCTGTTTGGTATAATTTCTTTTCTCAAAAAGCTAATTGAAAAAGTTGCTTGGAGTAACTTTTTGAATTTTAGCCTTTTGAAGTTACAAAAAGCTAATTAACCAAACATTTATATTGATATTTTAACTAAATCAAACAATTAATAGTGATCAAAAAGCCAAAATTGGCCTATAGGCTAATTTTTTACCAAACACGGCCATTATTTACCAACCCAACATATAGGCGTAACTAATAGGGATGCACCATGTTAAAGAGTTATGAATCAGATCCCATCTCTCTCTCGTAATTGTCAAATTGTGATTATTCTTTTATATGATTCGTGAGTTATTACATAAGAGTGCAGTTTTATTTAGTACACACTGCACTTTTGCATAGTGACTGCAAGGGTGTGTTTGGTTCAAACTTTGGAATCAAAACGCTAATAAGAATCAAATATTTGGTAATGATAATAACTTTGGGTAGAAGGAATCACTTTGTTTGGTAATAAAAATAGAAATTAAAATAAAAATGAATAAATTAAAAATATTTAATTAATTGGTGCCCATTCACTAGATAAAATTACTGGTTTGAGCTTACTATTTTAATACATCTCATTTAGACATTTTTTTTTTCTGACTTCAATTTAATGAGTTGGTGCCCATTCCCATGATGATTGATGATGTTTAATCTTGAAAAGAAAGATTTGGGTACGGTTTGTAGTTTGTACAGATGCAGTGTGAAAGTACTAAATGGTGAAATACTCTCCAAGTTTTATACTTTATACTTTTGTACAGCAATAAACATATAATTAAAGAGACAAATAAATAAATTAATTCTGCAATATTTAAATTATTGTATGAAATGTTCTACAGACTACAGTTGTAGTAGGCGGTGGTTAATCAAGATTCAAGAGAGCTCTTTTTTGTTATTGCCGGCGTGGGATATAAATGCAGTCTAGACCTTTGTTCTGAAGCTTTCTTCTTCACCTCCTTCAATTTCCCATTTCTCTCTCTCTCTCTCTCTCTTCTTCTCTGTCATCTTTATTACTTTCTTGGGTGTTTATTTTCTTGATAGAGTGACAGGATCTAGCAGAGTATGAACTGTTGTGAACAAAGTCCCCACTCCCCAGAGCCTAAATTCAAGAGATTTTGTTGTATTTTCTCTCCCTTTTTCCCCTTTTCTTGAATGAAACCTTCAAAGAATGTCTTGCAGAGAACCAAAAGTAGCAAACTATCTGAAATAAGGTATCTTTCTTCTTTATTTGTGTTTCAGAAGTTGGATTGGAGGGTTGGTCAGTTTTGCTGTGACTGAGGTTTTATTTTGTGATGAAATTAATGTCACTGCTTCATTTGATTCCCAGTTTCCCTACACTTTCTTCTGCTCTTTTTTGAACTGGGTTTCCATTTTTCTTGCTTGAAACCACTCAAGAACCAACTGAGCTATCCGAACGTTTCGGTTTTCTTGGACTTGAACCAATGGGCTCCTATGATTAAGGATGGGAAACAAATGCTGACACTTGTACAACCTTAAAAACTCAAACTTTGGTGCATGGTTGGTTTACTAAAAAATTTTCTTGAATTTTTAGCTGTAATGGGAGAGGCTATTCTAGGCCATATTGGCTGTTTCCTCTGAGTTGTGTATTGTTGGATTGCTTCAAAAAATCTAGATGACATAGATAATCTGGTTGGGAATAGTGGGTAAAGGTTAAAATTTTGTGCTGTTCAATTTCCCCAACTTGTTGGCTGGGTTTTTTTTTTTTTTTTTTTTTTGGGAAATGCTAAAAAATGGGGACTTTGTTGTTTGTCCTGGAATCTTTAGTTTGATGCCTTGAGGGTTTGTTTTTTTTTTATTGTTTTTATAGCTGCAAGGGAGAGGATTTTGTTTCTGAAATTTGCTACTGTTTTCAAGAATGGATAAGGGTGGCAAGGATGAGGCCATGGCAGCAAAGAGAGGTGATGATGCTATGAGCTTTCAGTCAGCAAATGTGTCATCTGACTGGCAAATCAATGGTTCCGATCTCGCGAACACGCCTATTGGAATGATTCCCAATAGCAACCCGATGGTGGATGCGTTTTGCTTGAATGTTTGGGATCAATCTGCAAGTTCAGCAAGCTTAGGCTTTTGTGATGCTAATGTTCATAGCAATGTTAGCATTTCTAGCCCATTCGGAGGTGGAACGAGTGGCGGGTTCACCACCGCCTTAAGAGGCGGTGTCGATAGAGGTGTTGGTATGGGGTGGCATCCGGCTAACACGATGTTGAAAACGGGGATGCTTCTGCCTACTGCCCCTGCAGTGGTTCCCCCGAACTTGCCTCAGTTCCCGGCTGATTCCGATTTTCTTCAAAGGGCAGCGAGGTTTTCGTGCTTCAGTGGAGGAAACTTGGGCGATATGATGAACCCCTTCAACGTTCCCGAGTCTCTGAGTCCTTATTTTAGAGGCTTAACACCAACTCAAAGGCCTCAACAGGTGTTTGTAGGTAGTAATGGACTAAAACCTGCACCAGCACCAGCACCAGCGGGTGAAATTTCAAACGGGGCTGCTGATGGTAGCCCACTAAATAACGATAGCGCGATTGAATATGCTGTTGGGTCGAGAAATAGTGCAAAAGAAGGCGGAGGAGCCTTTGGAAATGAAGCTAACGAGCCCGAATGTAGTAGCCGTGGTGGCCATGATGTATCTGAGGGTGCAGGGGGAGAGTCTTCGGCCTCAAAGAAAAGGAAAAGAAGCGGGCAGGTATGACAAATCCCGTTATCGATATATGTAATCAGCTAACAAGCTAACAACAAATTTACTAAACATTTTTCTGCAATCAGCTAATGCTACCAACTAGTTAAACTCACTAACCCAATCAGCTAACAGCCATTTACCAGACACCCACCAGTCTTCCAAAACACCAGCTAACAGCTAACAGCTAATTTACCAAACACTTTTCTACAATCAGCTAATGCTACCAACTAGTTAAACTCACTAACCCAATCAGCTAACAGCCATTTACCAAACACCCACCAGTCTTCCAAAACGCCCAATCCAAATGGTAACGTTTTTGCTGTGCAGGACGCTGAAACTGATCAAAACAAGGGAACACCGCAACCAGCTGAAGCAGCAACAGATCAGACTGATAAAAAGGGAGATCAAAACGTGACCGCAACTCCCAGCAAGCCAGGCGGTAAAGGCAGTAAGCCGGGGTCCCAAGCTTCAGATAATCCTAAAGAAGATTACATCCACATTCGGGCTAGGAGAGGCCAGGCCACGAATAGCCACAGTCTTGCAGAAAGAGTAAGGCTGCTTATACATTTCGAGTGGTCGTGAGGATCTTTCATATGTTCTGTGTTCCTTAATTGCACAAATTCGTCTAATAATGATAGGTTAGGAGGGAGAAAATCAGTGAAAGAATGAAATTTCTTCAGGATCTCGTGCCCGGTTGTAACAAGGTTCGTTTTTTGTCTCAATTTCAATCCTACTGTCAGTAGTTAAGGTTCCACGATTCTTAGTAAAAAAATGGCAATCTTGCAGGTCACTGGCAAAGCAGTAATGCTCGATGAAATCATTAATTATGTACAGTCGCTCCAACGACAGGTTGAGGTATGCAAAACTAGATATTGGTTTAAAATTTCGTTTCTTTCCAATCTCTAGAACAAAGTAAACTTCAAACCGGGATGTTATCTTTGAAACGAAGTGATAAGAAGTTAGTGAACTCTGTTGCTTTCAGTTCTTGTCGATGAAGCTTGCAACAGTAAACCCGCGGCTCGAGTTCAACATCGATGGTCTCCTTGCAAAAGATGTAAGAAAACGCCATGTCCAAGAATTGTATGTCACACGAGAATAATGTTTGCCCTTCTAATATAATTCTTGAATACTCGTTTACCTCGATTGCAGATCCTCCAGTCCAGGGCTGGTCCTTCGTCTTTTCCACATGATATGACTATGCCTTATCCACCAGCACACCCTCCACCATCGACACTGATTCAAGCAGGTCTTCCTAGCCTGGGAAGTTCTGCAGATGCAATACGAAGAACCATCAATTCGCACTTGGCAACCGCGAGTGGGAGCTTCAAGGAGCCTACCCCTCAGGTAGCATATATTTTTGGAAATTTTTATGTATTCCACACAGCATATTCTTCCAAATCTGTGCATACTGCAAATGGGCAGTATTAGGGATCAAGCGTTTACCACTACACCAAAAGTTATAGCTAGTAGCAAAAACACAACTTTATATCTTTATACTGCCACATTTTCGAGAGGCAGGGTGCTGGACTTGGCTCTTCAGGCCTCCATGGGTCGAATCCTGGTTTTGATACCACTTGTTAGGATCAAACGCTAGCGAAGTGGTAAACTCTTTATTCTAAAACTATAACGGGTTCGAGTCCCAACAAGAGTAAAAACTATTAAGTCCTAGGAGGGGGAATGGTTGTGTTGGGTGGAGGCCCCCGGTGAACGGTCAAGTCCAACAACACTTGCCTCTAAAAAATGTGACAGTATAAGGAAATAAAGTTGTGTATTCGCTACAAGCTATAGCTTTTGGCATTCTGCTGAGCGCTTGATTCTAATAGTCAGAGAATGAACACTATGCTTCCAAGTTCCCACTGAAGTCTACAAACTATAACTTTGCTTTCTAATCAAACTATGCATACATACACATTAATACAGGTACCTAGTATGTGGGACGATGAGCTCCATAACGTTGTCCAGATGGGCTTCAATCCAAGCGCTCCCCTCGACAGCCAAGATATAGGTACTATTTCACATCAAACGCTTCCTCGTCTTTATCCTGCTTTTACCCCGAGCTGAGCAACAAGCTATAAATCTATTTTCTGCATTTGTAGGCTCTCTACCACCTGGCCATATGAAATCTGAGCCCTGAACTATTTTTCCTGCAATTCTATTAGCTACATACACTTCATTGAATCCCTTTGCACCTAAGTTATCTTCAGGGAATGAATCAACATCAGATAATTTCTTGTGTATACTGAGAGTCACTTAGGAGGTTGAATTGGTTGAAATTTGCTTGATCAGTTTTACATCCCGAGAAGATTATTTTCAAGTTATGATGCAAAGAAACCTTTCTACTCGATTATCCTATATATTGGGCAAACGGGAGTGAAGAATCACAAGGTTTTCATCACGAAAAGAACGTTATGCCCCCGGGACATGTACCCTGGATGCATGGAACATAGAAGAGATACATACTCATGTAAATTTCAGTTGTGAATTTGTCAGAAAAAAACAGGCTTCTTAGCTTCTCCTTCTTCTGATTTTACTTGGAGGAATGAAGATCAATGAGGTTACATCTCCTTTTATTGTCAATACAATAATAGTGTTATTCCTTATGTACTGATTTACTCTTATTGACTAATGCAATTGAAATGGTGTTTGGTGTTTATTCACTTATATGACCCTAACATAAACATAAACTAAGCAAATAATGTAAGTTGATAATGTAATGACAAAGCATTGAAAGGTTGCAAAGTTCTTGGTCACTCTAAGTGAACCAAATAGTGCTTTGTATTCATTTATGCAAAGTTGTGACCCCTTTCTTAGTATTTTTTTTTTTTAATGAGGGAAACCTATAATTATTACTCGAAAACATATTTTCGTAAATTTTATTCGTGTGTAATGATCACAAACATTGAATTAGGAAGATATTGTGCAATGAACCTAATCGAGAGGATGCTGGTAATTATTAAATTCTTTTTTTTAGTACATTGGTATTATATGTAATATGATATAGAGACGCATCTAAATATAATTTCTCTTTGCAGTTATAACGAGTTAAACAAATATAAATCACTTATAACCAAACTCCACACGTCATCGAAGGTGTTAGACAGGTGGGTCGAGGGTCTTGAGCGAAGATAGGTGAGGCATACCACCTTCATTTACGGGGTGTTTGGTGGGAAGTAGGGAATTAAGAGGGGATGAGTTACAATTCCATGTGGGAAGAATAATGTGAAAATAAAGTGAGAATTTAGATTATTATTACAACTGCAGTGTTTGGTTTGCAAGAGTATAATTACAGAGAATTTAAATTTTAAAGTTTGATATACATGAGAATGAAAAGGGGAAAAATAGTATAAAGTCTAAAATGTCATACTTAATGTCCATACAATCGATAATTAATATTTATGTAGTTCTTGAATTTTTCTTTTCTTATGTATAAATAAATAGATATTTTTGTGATTTTTTGTTTTCCGTTTTGCAAAATCTTAAGAGGATGTTTTTGCATTAATTACCCTTACAATCCTTATGTATTGTAAGATTCCCTTAATTAGCCATTTTACTTACTTTGTCCTTTGCTTTATATATATATATATATTCTCCACACCGCAACAATCTTCATATTATCTCAAGTCTCAAATACGACATTAGTCTTCATCTTCTCTCAAGTCTCAATCTAGGTTTCTATCTTCTCGATCTTGCAGGTAGTACTCACATCTCCTTCATCTTTTGTTAACTATCACTTCATAAATTTAAGGATTATGCTAGAATCTCAAAAATATCGTCGCTATTTGGAAACTAATTTTGCCCAAGGGGGAAGGTGATGGTTTCTTCATTTAATTTTTGTAGGCGTCTATTATTTATCTATGGAATGCTCGAGAATTAATCTCTGCACAATATCTAACTTTGTTTTTGTTACCCACCTCCCCTGTTCTCCTCTATTTTTACTCCTTAGAGAAACTGTAGTATTTATATGTTTCTTCATTTGATAGTTGTCAAGAAAGACTATAAATATGGAGTATCTCCCCCCCCCCCCCTCCCCCCCCCCCAAATTCATTCACTAATCATTTGATCATTCTGTTGTAACATTCTAATGCAATGATTAATTGATTTGTTTATGCTTAATTGTGTTTTCCCTTACCTGTTGCACTGGTTTCTATATAGGGATGCATTCATACCATGAAATTCTTGAGCCACACACCATTCAGTTGCCTTGTCATATGTTTCGTTTTTATTAGAATCAATTTTGCATCTCTATTAGTATTGAGTGTCTAGTTTCTACATAGGGGATACACCGCCCTTGCTGCCATCCAAATGTTTAACTCCTATATTTATGTTAGTTGCAAAGATATTATCTGTATTTGATTTTCTTCCAACTATATGTTGCACGGTAATAGACCTATCATATGTTTTGGAAGTAACAATGAAGTGTTATTAAGAACAAGAGTTTATGTTCATAATTGATTTTCTTTCACTTTGTCTTCCTCATAGTTTCTTTTATATTATGTCAGGTATGTTATTATGATAATGATTTCTCAACTTATTTGCAGCAAATATTAGTTTAATTTGTTACACATTTAATTCTTATAGGGTGTTATGATTCGGTTGCCACTAAGGCAAAAGATGATATTGCAAGCTGTTATCTTCATTTTTGCACAAAACACCATGAAAAACATGTTTAATAAGATTATGTTTCTTCCTATGACATTATTATTTTAAAAAGAAGGAAGTTTAGGAAAACTAAAACATATGCTGATGAAATAACATCTAAACATAGTATTATATCTTTGAATTTACATAAAATGGTATTTGAAAGTGATATTGATAATTGTAGAATGGATAGAAGAGCTTTAACTAAATTATGTGATTCGCTAAGGACTCATTATAACTTGAAGAGAGCAGGAATGCAACAACCAATGAGATGTCGAATTCTTTTTTTTTTTTTTTTTTTTTCTTTCATATAGTTGCACATAATATAAAGAATAGAGTATTTAAATGTCAAACATCTAGATCTAATGAGACTGTTAGTAAACAATTTCATATTGTTTTGAACTCTATTTTGAGATTACACAACATACTCCTTAAAAAACCATAACCTATACTAGATAATTCAATAAATGAGAGGTGGAAGTGGTTCAAGGTACCCCTATACTCTTTTCGAAAAAAAAAAAATTAGATAAGTTTCTTATCTAATTACACTAAATCATTTATTAACAAATATTTATATTTCATTGAGATTTAGGCCTGTTTGGATGCATTAAATGAGACATTTCTCATTTATAAAAGTTAATGTTGAAATAGTTGATAGATTTAGGTATCGAACTAGAAAATGGAAAATTGCCACAAATGTCTTAGGTGCTTGCACACTAGACAATGGTTGACTAACTTGTTGAAATAGCAAATGAACCCCACATTAAAGGGGAGAATGAATTCAAGATGGGATACTTGTTGAGCTCGGAAAAGATACTACAATTAAAGTTTTCATGAACAAATTAAATATCAATACTACACCCCACATTAAATCTAGGTATAAATTGTTGAAGAAGCATTTCCTTGCCATTCAAGTGATGCTTAACAATGGTAGTGGATTTGAGTGGAATGATGTTGAGAAATTTGTTACTGTTAAAGTAATGTGAAATTTAAATTATCTTTCTTTTGCTTACTTATATATATGTTCAAATTCTTTAGTTTTATTTTTATTTTTATTTTTTTTGTTTCTTGAACTAGTTGCATTAGGACGACACTAAAGAAAAAATAATGATAATTTAGTTGACAACAATTGTAAAAATTAAACTAAAGAGTTTGCACATATAAGTAAGAAAAAGAAAGATAATTTTGATTTCACTAAATTTTAAACAGTTATTAAAGATATTTTTGCTAACAGTGACACATTTCTCAAAATTATTCCACCCAAATCCACTACCTTTGTTAAGTATCTCCTGAATGGCATGGGAATGTTTCTTGGACAATTTATACCTAGATTAAATGGGGGGAGTAGCATCGATATTTGTTCCTGAAAAGTTTAGTTGTAGCATCTTTTTCAAGCGCAACAAGTATCCCGTCTTGAATCCATTATTATCCCCTTTAAAGTGGAGTCATTTGTTATTTCAACAAGCCAATCAACTATTGTCCGGTATATTTGTGGCAATTTCACATTTTCTGGTTCAATACCTAGGTTTGTCAATTGTATCAACATTACTTTTATGAATGTTCCATCCAATGCACCGCTGCAACCCTAAATCCTAATGAAATATAAATATTTGTTAATAAATGATTTAGTATAATTAGATAAGAAACTTATTAATTTTTTTTTCGAAAAGAGTATATGGGTATCTTAAACTACTTCCACATCCCATTTGTACGTTGAATTATCTAGTATAGGTTCTGGTTTTCTAAGGAGTATATTGTGTAGTCTCAAAATAGAGTTCAAATCAGCATGAAATTGTTTACTAATAGTTTCACACTTTTACCAGATCCAGTTGTTTGTCGTTTAAGTACTGCATTGTGTTCTTTATATTATATGCAACTATATGAAGAAAAGAAATCACCATATCATTGATTGTTGCATTCCTGATATCTTTCAAGTTATGAGTCCTTAGCAAATCACATAATTTAGCAAAAGCTCTCCTATCTATTCTATACTTATCAACACACTGCATACCACTTTCAAATATCATTTTATGTAAATTCAAAGATATAATATTATGTCAAGATGTTATTTTATTAGCATATGTCATAGTTTTCTTAAACTTCGTTCCTTATTCTAAATACATACTAATAATGTTATAGCAAGAAACATAAGCATATTAAACATGATGTCCAAGATCGTCTTTATGTGCAAAATGAGGATAACAACTTGTAATCTCATCCTTTGCCTTAATGGCAATCGAGCCATAACATGCACTTAATGAAATGTGCAAGAAATTAAACTAATATTTATTGCAAATAATTTGATTGATAAATCCTTACCATAATAACATGATAGAATATAAAAGAAAGTAAAAGGAAGACACCGAAAGGAATTGAAATAAAGAATGAACATATGTTTTTGTTCTTAATAACACTTTATTGTTGTTTCCAAAACATATGACATGTCCATTACCGTGCAATGTATAGTTAGAAGAAAATCAAATACAGATAGTAGCTTCGACTAGCATAAATATAGGAGTTGAACATTTAGATAACAACAAGGAGCAATGCATCCTTATATAACAACTAAACACTAATACTAATTGATCTGAGATACAAAATTAACTCTACTAAAAACAAAAAATATTACAGGGCACTGAATGAGTAATGCATGGGCAACATGCCTCACGAATTTCATATATGAATGCATCTCTATCTAGAAACCAGTTCAACCCGTAGGAGAAAACACAATTAAGTATATATAAATTAATTAATTAATCATTGAATTAGAATGATGCAACAAAATGATAAAATGATTAGTGGATGAGAAAACAAAATACTCAATATTTATAATCTTTCTTGACAACTTTTCAAATGAAGAAATTGATAAATACTACACTTTCTTTAACGAGTAAAAATAGAGGGAGCATGGCGTAAACAAATACAAGGTTAGACATTGTGCATAGAGTATGTAATTCTCGAGCATTTTATGGATAACTAGCAGATGCCTACCGGACACCTCCGGTAATCAAATGAAGAAACTCTCGCCCTCTCACCCGAGCAAAATTAGTTTCAGAATAGCGGTAATGTTTTTGAAGTTATAGCATGATCTTCAATTTTAAGAAGCAATATGAAACAAAAGGAGTTGTAAATATTACTTGTGAGATTGAGAAGATAGGAATCCTAGATTGAGACTTAAGAGAAAATGAAGACTGTTATCGTGTGAGGAAGATTAAAATCAAAGGGTAAAATAAGTAACAGGGTCAAGAGAATCTCACAATAATGGAAAATACAATCTGCACTCTTATTTTATACTCTCAACTTTTACTCTCACGCTTAAAATATTGATGTAGACACTTTAGATGTCCACATGAAAAAAAAACCTTTCGGTTACTGAATAAATTTGAGGGAGTATGATTTGGCAATCGTTATGCCATGGAACCAAGTTCACCATCCATGGTGAACACGGTCCCAACGGTAACGGTGCACCGTTATCTTTTTTTTTTTTTCCTTAATTAACTACACGACTTTTCTTCTTCATTTTCACATTTCGCGGTTTTACTTCCTCTTCGCGCAAGTTTCTTCAACATTCATAAATTATGAATGTGCAGGCATGGATTTATGAATGTGCAGTTATGAAATTATGAATTTTCTGTTATGAGATTATGAATTTTCTGTTATGAAATTATAAATTTACAGAAAATTCATAATTACATAACTGTAAATTCATAATCTCATAACAGAAAATTCATAATTTAATAAATGTTTTTCTTTTATGCGATTATGAATTTTCTGTTATGAGATTATGAATGTACAGTACATTCATAATCTTATAACAAAAAAATTCATAATCTAAATAAACGCGCGCCGCTAATAACACATTAACTAATTTTTTTTTTTTCCCGTAAAATCGACACCGTTCCCGGGCATAATTTGCAATGATTTGGAATCACGTGATGCGCCGAAGTCCGGACACTACAAATCGACCAACTTCTTTCCCGCCAAAATAGATTTGCATTGACGCGGTATGTCTCACATTTCTAACCACTACTGTTCTCTTCTGAAGCTCTGCTGCGACACCCAAAACCGCGCACAATTGAAGAAGCTCCACTGCCGGATAATCAAAACCGTATCGAACGTAGAGACATTCTTGCTGAACAACCTCATCAATGCATACAGCAAGCTCGACGACTTCGTGTACGCACGCCGCGTGTTCGATCAAATTCCCAGGCCAAACCAGTTCTCATGGAACACCATTCTCTCCGTTTACTCCAAAGCCGGAAACTTTCTGGAAATGCAGGAAGTATTCCGCATGGTCCCGAGGAAAGATGGGGTTTCTTGGAATTTGGTTATTTCGGGTTATGCCTCTCACGGCTCGGTTGATGAGGCTTTGAGGGCTTTTAAGTTGATGTTGAGGGATGGGAGGGTGAATTTGAACAGAATCACGTTTTCTACCATGCTTATATTGTCTTTGAGCAATGGTTGGATCCAATTGGGGAGGCAAATTCACGGACAGATAGTGAAGTGTGGGTTTGAGTCGTATGTTTTTGTGGGGAGTCCCTTGACGGATATGTATGCGAAACTTGGGTTTATTAGTGAGGCAAAACAGGTTTTTGATGAGTTACCAGAGAGAAATTTGGTTTTGTCTAACACAATGATTATGGGTTTTCTGAGGTGTGGGATGGTGAAAGAGGCGGAGAGATTGTTTATGTGTTTGCCAGAGAGGGATTCTATATCATGGACTACAATGATTACTGGGCTAACACAGAATTGTCTAGATATAAAAGCTTTAGAATTGTTCAGAGAAATGAGACTGGAAGGTTTGGCAATTGACCAGTTTACCTTTGGGAGTATTTTGACTGCTTGTGGAAGTTTACTGGCATTGAAAGAAGGTAAACAGATTCATGCTTATGCAATCAGAAGTTATCATATGGATAACATTTTTGTTGGCAGTGCGCTTGTTGATATGTATTCCAAGTGTAGAAGCATTAACTATGCAGAGAATGTCTTTAGGAGGATGAAAAGCAAAAATGTTGTGTCTTGGACTGCATTGGTAGTGGGTTATGGCCAAAATGGATACAGTGAAGAAGCTGTTCGGACGTTTTGTGAGATGCAACGGAATAGAGTCAAGGCAGATGAATTTACTTTAGGAAGTGTCGTTAGCTCGTGTGCAAACCTAGCAAGCATAGAAGAAGGAGCCCAGTTTCATGGTCAAGCATTAGTTTCAGGCTTGATTTCCTTCATTACAGTTTCCAATGCTCTTGTAACCCTGTATGGTAAGTGTGGAAGTATAGAAGAATCTCATAAACTGTTCAATGAGATGGCGGTTAAGGATGAGGTCACTTGGACTGCATTGGTTTCCGGGTATGCACAGTTTGGAAAAGCCGCTGAAACTATTGACCTTTTTGAGAAAATGCTTGCACAAGGACTGCAACCAGATGGAGTGACTTTTGTTGGGGTTCTAGCTGCTTGCAGTAGGGCAGGACTTGTAGATAAAGGGAAATATTATTTTGATTCAATGGTAAGAGAACATAGAATTATGCCTACTCTTGATCACTATACTTGCATGATTGATCTATTAAGCCGCTCTGGACAGTTAGAAGAAGCAAAACACTTTATACAAAAGATGCCCTGCCATCCTGATGCAATTGGTTGGGCTACACTGCTGAGCTCTTGTAGAACTCGTGGTAATATGGAAATTGGGAAATGGGCAGCTGAGTCTCTTTTGCAAATAGAGCCTCAAAATCCAGCCAGCTATGTCTTGCTTTCAAGCATGCATGCTGCTAAAGGAGACTGGAATGAAGTGGCCCAGTTAAGGAAGGCAATGAGAGATAATGGTGTGAAAAAGGAACCAGGATTTAGTTGGATCAAATATAAAAACAAGCTGCATGTTTTCTCAGCTGATGATAAGTCCAGTCCATATTCAGACAAGATATATGCAGAGCTTGATACGTTGTACTGTAGAATGATAGAGGAGGGCTATATTCCTGATGTAAGCTCTGTCCAGCATAATATTGTGGAATCTGAGAAAGTGAAACTTCTTAACCACCATAGTGAGAAGCTTGCAATTGCCTTTGGTTTGATCTTTGTTCCTCCTGAGCTCCCCATAAAAGTGGTTAAAAATCTTAGGGTATGTGTTGATTGTCACAATGCAACTAAAATAATTTCCAGGATCACTGGAAGAGAAATTTTAGTAAGAGATGCTGTAAGATTCCATTTGTTTAAAGATGGAGAATGTTCTTGTGGAGATTTCTGGTGATATGCTGCCTGTCTTTTGACTATCAGAGAATGACAATCAGCTTCTTTCATGTTTATATGGAACCCATTAGTTGAGATGACAAGTGAATGCTCTGATTTGCTGATGGCATTGAACTTCTTATGATTACTATGGTGCCCTTAGAAAATTTTCTTCCAGTTCATACTATTGGAAGACTAGAAGGTGCCAAGGTGGAATAATTGCCTGTAAGAAATCTTTGTAGGATAGGGTGTTTCTTTTCCCAACAATTGAGTTGAAGTTTCCTAAGGAGAATCCAACCAATCGAGCAGTGAATCCTTCTTGACAAGGTAAGATTTCACTGTAGTTTTAATGTACGAAGTAATATATAAGAGACTCACTTGGTGTAATAGATCCTAGTCTGTCTTACTTGGAAAATTCTTGCCAAGAGGCTTAATTGATTAGTCAATGAACTAACATTCAAAGACTCTGATTGTAGAGCTTGTTGATGCCATTTTTTTGGTAACAAACATGGTTGTCGTCACCTGCTTTCTTCTATTTATAGATGTATACAAGCTCTATGCATTTGTAGATCATTTACTATTTCAGAAAGAAAAAGAAAGTTGCTTGGAAAATACATTTCATTTTTATATCATTATTTTCTTTCTGTTGAATTGTATTTTAGATTTTTAGATCTAAAAGTGAACCTGTGCCGATGCATATTTCACAAATATTATTCTATTGAATTTCTAAATTGAAAATATCTTGGGTGCAGTAACCGAGAGAGGGATGTCTCAAAACTCTCCAAGGAGATACAACCTAGAGATAAAAACACATGCTATTAAGGTATAAGAGTTTTGCCAAGATAGAGGAAGAATTACAACAAAAGGATTCTACTAATGCATATTAAGTACATTCAGAAGAAAACTGCTCAGATTTTTTAAATTTGAAAAGGGAGGCCAGTAATCCAGTATTGCAAGATGGTAATCTGGAGTTAATCATAGTCTTGTACTGATTTCATAGACTCTGATCGACTATGCTTTTGATTCTGCATTAATTGAGAAAGATCTAATTAGTGTTCATCTTGTGCTGGAAACAAGACTTGGGTAATGTAGCAAAGCCAAAGAGGGTTACCTGCATCTGTCTGCAAATTTCAATGATTTCAGCAATTGGCGCCCAGTCTCCAAAGTTTCTTTCAATGAACTGATAAGCGATGCCAGTTTTGCCTTTGCCAACTATAAAGAGACCACCTTTTATCTCTCCTTCTCCTCTGAAGTTCTGATCCAGTCCCATAGCCTTTGCTCGCTTGTAATTTGCAATGGCTCGAGGATTGAGTAGAAATCCTGAGATGAACTTATCCTTTAGCAGCTGCCCTCCACCCAGAGCCTTGAAAAATTCCATGCCCCTGTCGTGAAGTACAGCCCCACCCCAATATCTTGGCCAGAAATCTTTTACCTAATCCGTTAAAGTCAAACTTGAGAGCTGTTTTAAAGAAACATGTCAACTGAAATCAACATACTTACCTCTGATTCTATGTACTCATGAATAACAGCAATCAATTTAATGCCAAGTGAGTCAAATATAGGCTTTTTGGAATATAGTTGGTGGGCTTCAGCTCTGCACATGATGCACCTGTTTCCACATTTATTCACAGATGAAATAAGAATGTAGTTTCACATTTTAATGTTTTAAGATGGACTCTATACATGTATTTGTATTTATGTATGAGCTCTGTGATGTTAAAGCCTTAGTTATAATACGCTTTGACATCAATATGTGCCGTTGCTTGTCTGAGGCCAAGATTAGCCAAGGCATTAACCTTCATGTAGTACATTGAATGCTTCTAAGTCAATGTGACTATGTAAAAGCTATTTTCTTGATCTCAAGGTGTTTTTTTCTTAGTAATTATGGCAATAGAAAGTTTTTTGATACATTTGATTGTTACTTTTTTCGCCCAGTTGATTAGTTAGCCGGTTACATGCATGATTATGCTGAATAAAAAGTAACTAACAAAAATTCTAAACGCAGGATATACTTGGAAGATTTACCCTGGGCGCCGGATACAAAGGAGAAGTGCTGGTTCATCACGCCACAGTTCTGAGGCCTTCATGGGAGGAGTCTTTGTTTTTACCAGACGCTCTATTCCCATCTTATATTCTGGCATTATTTTTTGAACTGAGATGTTCTCAATATCAGTATACGGAGCAACATTCTCAACTACTGGGGGAGCCTGCACACAACCACATGCTCTAGGCTCTGCAGGCATTGCTGCCACAACTCCCTTGAAGACATGTCCTTCTTTGAGCTTGTAATCAGCCATTGACTGCTCCACAGATACCTCGGAAGCTAGAGTGCTTCTCGTCCTGCTCTGCATTTTTCTGGAGTTGATAGATGAAAGTTCCCGCGTGTAAATACTATCATTTCGGGTGGTGGTTCTCCTTCTTGCTGGGAGCATATAGGATTCTGGTAAAGGATTTGCTTCATAGGCATTAGTTCTGTCTATGAAACGGGCAATATGTCCCCTTTTCATTCCAAACTGTGATGAAAGATCTGAACTGCTCAAGTTAAGAAGCTGAGTAAGGGTTTTCCTGGAGGTCTCTAAACTGTCAGCATATTGCATTAGAGCACGACTGTGCAGGTATGACCTGATTTCTAGCGCATCCTTGAGCATAAAAAAAATCAGAGAAATGATTAACTGAATTTTTTTTTGTAATTTTGCAGATTGTAAAGCAAGACAACTTTAAGGTGAACTATGATCTGCCATATCTATACAATAATAGAGATATTTAAATGATAAAAATTCCAAAAATGATCTTGAGGACTGCTAGAGAAAATTGAACTCCTGAGTAATTGCATAGGAGAGTTTGAACACAAATCTCTTGTATCAGGAAAAGAAAATATAGCAAAGTCGATTCTAATAGTTAATTGAACCTTCTGTTGTTGTGTCATGTTTATCTCAGCCATGTCTTCCGAAGTCATAATCTTCAACGTCGGTACATCATCCCAGCCTTCCTCCAGCAGCTTAGGAAGAAGGGTCTTTAGACAGCCGTCTCCAATAAACTCCTCAACCGCAAAAGAAGCCATCTCCTTGTGAAGCAGAGAGAAAAACTAGCAAGCAAAATTTATTGAAGATGCCCACAAAGCTTGGTATATAAAAGAGAAGCACGTGGCTTTTGGTGCTTGTAGTCTGCAAGCTATGTGATTGGGTCTACAATGTTAACCTTAGAACAATTTTATCCCATATGATTTTAATATGATTTTATGACTTTCTTTGTTGGAAGGATTCAAGATTATATTTCTGATTGTCATTGCATACATGTTATGATACTGATATTTTCAGTCAGAATACTTTTACAATTTACACCTTGTTCTCCCTCTCTTTTCTGTTTATTGTTTATCTTGAAGAATTTACCGGTTGAAATGCTTTAAACAAGAATATTGTAATCTTTATAACTGAATGTGGAAAAATATGTACCAGAGACCAGAAGACTGTTACTGCCGGCTAAACATTTTTAGTTTTAAATAACATGTCTAATGTTAGGTGCTGCCGGCAAGACCTTTTCTCAAAGATTAAATTATGGTTAGCCTGCTTTGTTTTTAGTAACATTCAAACTTTAGGAAGTTTTTTACTTGTTAAGTTGGTAAATTCTCCATCGCGGTTGGTGGTATAGTTGACAAAAATGTCTAAGAATTCTATGCCTGCTAAACTGGCTTTTTGTGTGCTGGTCTCTTTGGATTTAGCTTCTCTTCATTTGCGAGAACATCTAAACAAAGTGATTGATAGCCTGATAGGAACTGTATTTTATGCTAGAACTATATCAGAAGATTTGCTGATCTTGGCAAAAGGACTTGAAAAGTTTTGGAAGAAAAGAAATATAAACAATGATAGGCTAATCCACATGTTTACATATGTTGAGTCTTGACTGCCTTCACATGTTTTTGAAACTAATGAGTGCAGAAAGATATTTACATGGTGAACGAGGTGGCGGTGAGCTGGGGCATCTTTTTCAAATGCATCAAGATTTTCTCGGCCATTTGCCTCGTGAGTACATCGCCATGGTGAAATGCTGTGATTAATGTAGCAGGAAACAGCCTGTCTTGTGATATATCTGAGGTAGACTGGTCGCCGCCTTTGGAAAGAATTTTTTCAATCATCCAAAACGATTTATGCCACAGGGCTTCTTCTCTGTGCTCCTTCACCACATTCAGCACGTGCTGGATCGCTTGCTTTTCCATCAACAAGCTCACGCTCTTGTCTATATCGACTTTATCATCCAACAATGTGGATATAGCAGACAGTGATGCTTCAACTACCTCTGCATTCTTGTGTTCCAGACAGGCTAACAGCCTCTCAACTGCCTTTGCATCGACCAAGCAAAATGTTTCCTCTGAAGAACACGTGCCTCTGTGAACCGGGCATAGTGGCACTTTGATGTGTTTGGTTGGATTAAGCGAGAAACATCTCCGCAACAGAGAAGCCTTCAGGTACTTGGCTTTCTTGGTTGGTGGTTTTGATAGATTAACTGATTGTTTTGACAAGTTCCCCAGTGCAGTTGCTGATAATTTCTGGATTTCATCGCTTGATGGTTTCATCAGTAATTCGGAGAAGATTAAAGTGAAGTTGTAGGTCTTCACCAATTGTAGTATTTGATGATCATACAATGTAGAGGTGAATCTGGCAAGAATTCCCACGAGTCCTTCAAAATATGCATTCACATGCCTTCTAGTTCCTGCTCCACCATTCTGGAGCTTGTTGATCTGGTTTATGATTGTGGGGACTGTTTTCCCCTCGACCAACGCGAGATTTAGGGTCAGGTTTTGATGGGGAAGCTTTGCCAAGAAAATGGCAGAAACCGCTTGCTTCTCTGTGATACAATCACCCACGGTTGAAGGCTGGACCAGGCTTACAGGTTGGCCTCTAGTTTTGCACAGTCTGTCTGATAAGGTATGCCCCATAAGTGGAGAGAGCGTGATGAGAAACTTGATCGAAGCAACGGCAAGTTCTTCGTTGGGGTAATTGATAAACTCGATCAGGATATACCCAGCATCTGTCTCCTTCACTGCAGAAACAATGGCAGCTGATGTTTTCTGAATTTTCATCAGGCACTGGAGGATTCTGATGAGGTTGATGTTCAGTTCATCCGGGCTTGAATTTCGTATCATGTGAACGATGTTTTGCACTGTGTACTCTGAATCGAATCTGTGCCCGTGCACGTTTACTTCCAGGCTCTCCAGCTGCAGCCCAAACTCTAGTATATTTGCAAGAATCCCAGCTGCCTCCTTCTTCGAGTCCATTGGTTCGTCGTAGATTTTCCTGTTGAAGATCTCCTCCACCATGACTTGTATGATCCCGGCTTCCACAAGAATGTTACCATTCGTGTGGTGCAGAGATATCTGTTTTAGAGCTTTAAAGGCTGCATTTCTGCTCAGAGAATTCCCAGTGTGCAACATTTTGATCAAAGCTGGAGAGGCTCTTTCTGCCACATAAGTGCTTCTGTCAGGTACAAGAACAATTTCTCCAATGTAGCTTGCCATCTCCATTCTCGTATCTTCATTTCCTGTCGAGTTTTACCAACAAGAACAGAAGAAGAAGACTAGTAACTCTTACGATCAACCAGAAAATTATAACCCAAAATGCATAATCAAACTATTATTTGCATATGCTGACCTTCATTTAGATAGTTTATTAGGGGTTCCCAATATCCGTTTTCTGCCATGTGCTTGATGTTGTGTGAAGATCTTTCCAGGCTCTTTAACACTTTATCAGCTGTTTCTGAAGTGAAATCATCATTCTCTCTGTACTTGGTTGTGATAAGCATCAGGATAGCGCCCGGGACTTCCTTGATGGTATCACAGAAAGATTGGCATTTCGAAAGCACGAGAAGAAGTGAGGCTGATGCATGCTTGACTGGTGAGTGATTACTTGACAGCATCCTTATGATTGTGGCAACGTCGATTTCTCTTGTGATCGTCTCCTGCATTGATACAATTACTTATTTCGATGTTTATGGATTCTTAGAAAGAGTAAAGGAATCACCTTCCCATCATTGTTATCTTCAGCTAACTCGTGCAACAATTCTAGTGTCACACGTCTTACGGTTCTGTTCTTGTAGTCCAGGAACTTGGCAAGTACCGGGATCATTCCTGTGCTGCAGACTTGAACCTGATTGTATGGCTTTCCCCGACAAATGGTTCGAAGATCTTCGATGGCATCCAGTACAATATCCTGTGTTTTGGCTGAAGATAAAGCCTCACGTGCCATCTTGATCCTCACTGCTTCGTTTCTGTCTTTCCATTCGTCTATTGTTGCTTTTAAGGCCATATTCGGGCGTAGGATTCTGGTTTTCAGCTTCTGTCCCGACTTGGGGCAAACGATTTCCTCCCTGCTCCCGAACTTACTGATCCATTCGACGATGGCTCTTCTCTCATAGGTTATTCCACTTTCTGTGGTTACGGGATCATCCATGATCTTCTTTGTCAGAGGGCAAAAGAAAGTCTCATACATAGGCTCCATGGATTGAGCCACTTGAGGGAAATGCAAATCCATTGATAGTTTATGTCTCCTGCTTCTCTCCGTCCATTGATCTCTCCCGTTCGAGCTCAGAGAACTATCCGAGAAGTAGATACTAGTTGTGTCTACTACCTGCAGATTCTCCATCGAAACATCAACATCAATAGAGTAAAGATCTGTTTCTGGTCTCTCAGTTTCTGCTCTTGATAGAACTGCAGGCTCGTTTCGCGTTTTCCCAGGTAAAAACCGTGCGGTTTTGATCTCGATGGACAGCGATTTAGCAGCAATGGCTGCATATTCTTGATCCCCATAGGCTGATGATGGCATGAGAGTTAGTCCTTTCCCTATTTCTTTCACTAAACCTTGAAGCTCTTCCAATTCTAAGCTTGCTTCCCCAGAGCCCCTCCCTGCTTTCTTGATTATATCTTCTGCAAGTCCAAAGCTTCTCCTTAGAGACTGTAGGATCTCTGCAACATGTGTTGGGGTGTTCTTGTTTATCTGCAGCTCCATTAGAACGGACGAGGCCCGGTATAGATAGCTCCCGATCTCCATGAAACTCTCCCTTTCCATCTCTGCGAGTTCTTCTGATTTTGTGAAGTCTGATATGTCTGCTAGCCAGGACTGAACACTCCCAGTTGAATCTTGATCTCCATTAAGCTGGGAAATTCAGAAAAGATTGGTTCAAGTCACTATGGAATTCATCAACTCAAAATGACAATAATCTGTTAGAGAGAATCCATACCGACATCTGTTAGCGCTGCCGCCTGGAATATGGAGTGGGAAGCTTGAGGTTGCTGATACTGAATCATGGGATCTGTTTGGAGGGAGAAAATTAAACACAGTTTAAGGATGAATCATTGAATGAGTCTCCATGATCATTGCTTCTAGATTTGGTGTAGCTTAATGAAGGGGACTAGGGATAGTTTTCATGTGTTACAAAGTCAAGATTATGGCAAAAAAACTCCCAATGGCTAAACTTGTGATGTCAGATTGGTTTGTGTTCTCAGCTGGTTGGTCATCTGATGAAGCAATTTTCAACAGATGGAATAGGTCTCTGCTGTGGTGGGGGATGGCATTTAAAAAATTTCACTTTGTTTAGTTTTAATGTTTCTTTCAACCCTTTTCAATTTTAACAGTGTGTTTACTTGTGGAGGTAAAAATAATAAATGCGGGTGGTCAAGTGGATGGAGCATGATTCTTGTATTTCAAGGTCAAATCTTTAGTTTTTGCCAACATTCTATTGGTTGAGCCAGTCGGTTTTTCTTAGTGTGGTTTACCTTTCTTGTGTGGTTTACGAGTTATTACAAAAAAGTAAGATTTACTCCGTGGATATCTACGAATAGTTGTTGCGATTTCCTTTGTTACCAAAAACAAAGAAGATAAATGCTACTTGACAATGCACAAAACCTTTTATATGGAGTATTAAATTAAAAAATATTATTAATTAGCTTTTTGTAACAGCTTATTGTTTCAAAATGCTAAAATTCAAAAATATACTCAAAATAATTTTTTTCGATCAGTTTTTTGAGAAAGTAATTTTGCATGTAATCAACTATCAGCTAACAGTTAATTTACCAAACACTTTTCTATAATCAGCTAATGCTAACAACTAGTCAAATCCACTAACTCAATCAGCTAAAATATATATCCAATGTCTTTTCAAGATTCATAAACTAGGGAATCAATCACATCTGATATATACCTTTCAGGCTATTAAAATTCAAACCAAATAAGTAAGCATAGATGGACAACATATATTAATAACGTGAACTCTAAGAAGACCTAATCAACAATTTCTATACTATAAATCTATAATTGACTACTTGTAGCATTTTAAAAGATATATATATAGGGGAAATAAGACAATATTATACTTAATAATGTCATATATCTAATAAAACATGATGAGGTATAACTTCATTTTGTATAAGTTATGCAAGTGATTGAACATATATTATTCGTACATTCTATTTTGGAGATATGACATTTAATAATCTACAAGAAAAGAGAAAGAAAGCATTATATGAATATTGTAGACTATATCGAATCAACATCTGAAAAACCAAACACATCAAGTCCGCTAGGGATGATTCAACACATGAAGATTAAGAGAAAATTTAAGACCATATGCATGTGAACTCACACACTGATTTTAAAATAATTGTTTACAATTATTTCAAATAAAAAATATTCGAAAATAAAACTGAATGGTGAAATAAACCTATTCGTGAGAGTGTTGTTTCATTCTAATGTATTCTGTAATCCAAATATACTAGTATTTTAGTTATAAACTTTGATTTTCATGGACCACATAGTATACAATGCTTTGGTATGACCTTTTCTTATCTACTTGCTAGAGCATTTAATGTAATATAGATCAACTTCTTCTTCTCTACTATCAAACTCATATGTTATCCATTAAATACTATCATCTTCCACATGTATTTCTCTTTCCATGTTTTGTCATTGACAAAACTACAAAAGTGCCACTGCAAGTCTGCAAATAGTTTCTTTTAGTAATCTTTGGCTCTTTCCAACCTAATTTCTAAAGTCTACTTAATCTTGCCCATTCTTAAATAGTGAATGGATTAGTGGGAGTTTCTCTTGTTACTTGAATTTTTTATTTTTCATACTCTACTCAAATTTATTTATTTCTTCAATTTACGGCTAGCAAAATAAAACTATTAATTTATTTTGAATTGATTGACCAATTGAGTTGTCCTCCGAGAAAAATGACTATAATTATTTGTATATATTTAGTGCATGTAGATATGTGTACCCTATTAATAACAATAAGATGGTAATGCATGTTTTAATATTTACTCTCGTCTATATTTAGTTATTTACTACTTTTATCTTCTTTTTTTGACTATCTCGAGATAGGGTCAACTTTTAGAAGTAGTAAAATGTAGACAGAGTATCTTAAAAATTATAACAAATTTTACGAAAAAAAAAACATAGATCTTTAGCCATATGAAACATTGAATATTATATTAAGTTTATCCACCTTCCAAGTGGACCATGGTCCATGGTATAACAACTCAATATTCGTCAAATAAATTAAAATTGATTGATAAATTAATAAACTTTGAACTTTCAAGTATAATATTTATCACTTGAGTGGAATGTTATACTGTGAGCACGTGCCCACCTTGTAAGGTGGGCATGGTTTCATATTCATAATTTCTATACTGTAGATTTATAATTTCTATATTGTAGATCCATAATTTCTATATTGTAGATTCATAAAAATTACTTTAGATTCATAATTTCTAAAGCGTAGATTCATAATTTCTATATAGTAGATTCATAATTTTTATACTGCAGATTCATAATATCTGTACTGTAGATTCATAATTTCTGTACTGTAAATTCATAATTTCTAAATTGTATAGTTATCAAATTATGAACATATAGTTCTCTGAATTGTGAAAACAGAATTCAACAATTGGAATCTAAAGTATAAATTTTATGAATCTACCATATAAAAATTATGAATCTACATTATAGAAATTATGAATATGGAACCGAGTCCAATGTGGGCACGTGCTCACAGCATAATTTGCCCACTTGAGTAAAACAGTAAACAAACTCTGAACTTTCAAGTTGCTTATGGGCTCTAGCAGATTTTATAGGCCACCATATGCCCAATCGAAGCCCCTCCAGATCAGCCCAAATCACTTCAGTAGACGACAGACAACCATCTGCATCTGCTACAGTGCTACGATTAGCCGCCGCATCCGACAATGCTGGGACTGGAAAGCACTATCCTAACTTTAAGCAACGAATTTTCAAGAAAATGACAAACTTTCATTTATGGAAACTCCTTAATCCCTACCCTAAGTGGGTTTTGGAGGAAGTAAGCCTTGTAACTTTAATTGACAAAGTTTGTAATGACAAAGAATATTAGTTTAATGGTGTATTATGTGGGAAAATACTTATTAATTGAGATTCTTAAGCTTGCTTCTGGCTTGGGTCACATAGGGATAAGAACGGTGACGATTCTCCAACGTGTAGAATTCATCATTAAACTAATAATTTGCCTTTCTATGTTGCATATAGACAACCTATGAACAGGTGCAGATAAAAAAGATTCTCAGGCATGGCAATTGGAGAAGAGAACCAGCAGGTAGAGAGCAAGAAAGATGATGTTTTGGTTCCCCTACTTGAGGAGGAGAAGAAGAGCTTCAAGAGTGAGTTTAATGGAGGTTCGTTTCTGGGTTCAGTGTTCAACTTGTCAACCACCATCGTCGGCGCCGGAATCATGGCGCTTCCGGCGACCATGAAGGTTCTTGGGCTGGGACTTGGCATTTCCATGATCATTTTCATGGCGGTTTTGGCGAATTTCTCTATAGACATTCTTTTGAGGTTTAGTAGGGGTGGAGGGTCTAACTCCTATGGAGGTGTTATGGGTGATGCGTTTGGGAGTTGGGGAAGAAGATTGCTTCAAGTGTGTGTCTTGATCAATAACATTGGTGTTCTTGTTGTCTACATGATCATCATTGGTATGTTTCACTTGTTCCAAGAATTTGTCAAAAATGGTTTGTCTATATCTATAAATCTATAATTCAACACCTATACCTTTTGTACCATATATACAATCTCGGTACCGATACTGATCTTAAGATTTTTCTCATAAGATTTTTCTCATTTGTCTGGGCAAGACTGCATGAGTGAGTCCTGACTAGTGCATCGTGAGAGTTTCACCTTCTTATGAGGGTGATTCGAGTCTGTGGGCAAGACTGCATGAGTGAGTCTTGACTACTGCATCGTGAGAGTTTCACCTTATGAGGGTGATTCCTTGTCCTCCCACCTAAGGCCCCTCCACCATCATGTCAGGTCGGGGCGTGAGGCCCTTGGTGCGAGAGATTTTTGTGGGCAAGGATTTTCATTGTTTATATATTTGTTAAATTTAATGTTTCTATGGGTATAGATGATGGAACTTGACTAATTTAATGTGGAATTTTTATTGATTGGATTGGGAATGAAGGTGATGTGCTCTCTGGAACAACATCAGATGGGGTTCATCATCCTGGAGTCTTGGAGGGATGGTTTGGAGAACAATGGTGGACTGGACGTCACTTCGTTCTTCTTGCTATTACTCTTATAGTGTTTGTTCCATTGGGGTTCTTCAAGCGTATTGGTAGATATCAATACATGATATTCTAATTAAATGCTTCAGATTTCCTAATCTAGCAATGCAGTTTGAGTGTTTGATTTAAAAGTCATTAAACTGCTTCTATATCAGTCAAGAGTTACAGCTATTAGTTTGATAACCACAAAGTTTCAAGTTCAACATAAATCTATTAGTCTTATTGATTTAAGCTGGTCAACTATGAAATTTTATTGAATTTGAAACTTTGTGGTTATCACACTAGGTTAATTAAATTTGACTAATAGACTATGTTGAACTAGGCTATTAGTCAACCTAGGCTATATCAATCATAGCCTATGATTAACCAGACTGGTTTATCTCTTTGTAGTCTTTTTTATCTCTTTGTAGTCTTTTGTGGGTTAGGATCACAAGGGGAAATTTATTCAATACATATTCTTGAATAATAGCTGCTGGCAAACCTATTGCACACCCTCGGGTAATGGTTGCAGGTTTCCCTCGTCACAAAAAAAAAAAAAAAAAAAAAAAAAAGAAGAAGAAAGAAAGATAAAAAAAAAAAAAGATTTTATTGAACTTCTTCTCTGCATATAGCATTTGTTAACAATCTCTGAATTGTTTCATCCATATGCACTGCAGATTCATTGAGACACACATCTGCATTGGCAGTTGCACTTGCAGTTGTTTTCCTTGTCATTACTGCAGCAATCACCATTTTCAAGTTATTCGCGGGCAGTATTGAAATGCCCAGATTTCTTCCTGATGTTACTGATATTAGTTCAGTCTGGAGACTCTTCACTGTAGTGCCAGTTATTGTCACTGCATATATCTGCCATTTCAATGGTTAGTCATGGAAACTTTCATGTATTGATACTTTGAAGTTTTTAGCAATGGACAAACTGTGCAGAGGTGTTTTTTTTTTTTTTTTTTTTTTCTGCAGTGCATAGTATTGAGAATGAACTGAGAGACCCTTCTCAGATGAGATCAGTTGTGAGGGCATCTTTGTCTCTCTGCTCAATCATTTACATTATGACAAGCTTGTTTGGATACCTTCTGTTTGGCGATTCAACTCTGGACGATGTGCTGGCCAACTTTGACTCTAACCTTGGCGTTCCTTACAGCTATGCGCTGAATGATGCTGTTCGTGTCTCCTATGCGCTTCACCTGATGCTTGTTTTCCCCATCTTGTTCTACCCTCTTCGCGTTAATGTAGATGGCCTCTTTTTTCCCTCCGCAAGGCCCTTGGATTCAGAGAAATGGCGCTTCGCATTCATTAACTTCACGCTCATCTTTGTTGTCTTTGTACTTGCAAATTTTATTCCCAGCATTTGGGATGCATTCCAGTTCAGTGGGGCAACTGCAGCTGTTTCTCTTGGGTTCATTCTCCCTGCTGCCATTGCATTGAAGTAAGCAAACTTCATTAAACTCAGTACTGCATTGCTAATTTCCTATGTTTGTTCCTGATTCAGACTAAGGAAACTTACCGAATTTAAATGTCTCTGCTTCAGGGATGCTCCTGGCATAGCCACAAAGACGGATAAGATCTTGTCGATCTTCATGATATTTTTGGCAGTGTCTTCAAATGCAGTGGCCATATACAGCGATGCCTGTGCTGTGTTCCAGAAAAATGCATCCCCAAAGGAGTGACTTTCCTGGTTATCATCGTAAGAAATCAAGGATGATATGCTCGAAATTTAGAGTGATACAATAGATGAGCAAGATAAGAAGACAATGATGTTTGGACTTAGGAAGCAATCCAAATCCCTTCATTTTCTGGGCTCTGTTGTAAAATTTGCAGTGGAATTATATATATATATATATATATATATATATATATATATATATATATATATATATATAGGAAGTGGGAAAATAAGACTGCTTCAACTCATGCTATAATACAACTCTTAAAAGTAGAAATCAGTCTTTTCCTAATGGAAAACAGTAAACATGTTTCTATTTTTTGGCTATCTTGATTCATGAGTTCATCGTCCCTCAATTGTAAAAATTTGGCTATCTTGATTCATGAGTTGTTTCTGCCTCTGCCATTACACCGAAAATTTCTTTATAACTGCAATGTTAAATATACTAACCACAGCACTGTCAACCTAAACTAACCAAAACGTCACTACTATTTCAAATACAAAATTCTCAACAACTCTCATACTGCCTATACAATTTGGGTTCAAGATGCAATCATATGGACAGTTGTTATAGATGCAGAGGATATATTCACAAATCAAGAAAGAAAAATAAGTATAACAAGATCATACGTGATGACAAAGAAGACCCTGCCTCCAACCGCTGTTCCTTCAGAATCTCCTGTCTGCTTTTGCCATTCTTATAGGACAGCTATTCCACATGGATTGTAATCTGGAACCAGAAAAAGTTTTTTAAAATGGCAAAAATGCAGGTTGGTCATTAAACCTGACATAGGACGAGCTGCAGCCTGCAGAGAAAATGGGAAAAACTTACACTGGGAAATCAAAGGATCTTACACTGCTATTTATCAGCTGTTGCTACCTTAAAATTGTTGAAATCAAAAATACTGCCTCCAATATCCGCCTTGGCACTGCAAAGACTGATGAAAGAATATCATATTTCAAGAGGCAAAGCCACAGAAGGACACCTAAATCTCCTACATTAGATATTTGAAGTCAATTTTCTTTCATCATTTGAAAATTTCAATTGTTTGACTCAGCATTTTTCTGTAGTGATTTTATTCTTTTATTTTGTCACGGAACTAGTTGTACTTTCTTAAAACAGATCTGTATTAGGCATTTCCCCTTAAATGTCTAATGATATTTGATTTTGAACTTGTTTAGTAACTTGTAGTGGAGCTTGTCATTTCAGGAGTTTCTACAAAAAAAAAAACACTTTCCAATTGGGTATAACAGAAAGTCATCTTCATGTATCATAGAAACAGAAAAAACAAAAGCAAACCTGACAATGCAGCTGTGCATACAACAATTCCAAAAGAAGTAGTGGCTGCGGGTTTCCTTGTCACTCAAAGAGAAGTGGCTTTTTACCAAAAGGTTGTTTTTCTGACACATCATTGGCTACTTTTCCAATTGTAGAACATTTAGATCTAAAATGTTTCATCAAGTCCTCTTGGCAGATTCTTTATTGTCATTATCCTCCAAAGATGACATTAGATAATCAGGGGAGAACATTTTGATCCAAAATGCTTCATCAAGTCCTCTAGGTAAAGTATCCTTGGCAGATTCTTTATTGACATTATCCTCCAAAGATGATATTAGATAATCAGGAACCAGTGATTTGATATCATCTTTAACTTTAGCAGCATCCATCTTGGCATCCCGGATTTTTTATGGGTCTCCAGAAAGCATTACCTTTGAACATCTTCACCAGTGTAGAGAAATATGCACCAAAACTACTATTGTTCAAGTTTTCAATCAAAATTTTATCCACTATAGGCACCTCCTGATAGATACAAATATAATTGGCAGCATTACAATTGCTCTATTTGAGGCAAGCTATCAACTCTGGTAATTCAAACTCTGTAATGTTTTTATCAGCACCCAAGTGTGAGAACTCTGAAGCAGATGCTGCACCCGATACGCCACATTGACCTTCATAATCAGCAGAGTCTTCAATCATGGAGCTTTCAAATTCTGGACTATTCCATAATCTATCTCTATCCTGTTCATCAGGTTCTAATGGAACTTCAAAGGTCTTGTGAGCATTAAAATGAAATATCACACCATGATCATCCTTATTGGTGAAACTTCATCTTCATTCTCATTATGCATGAGAGAGTTGTCTATAAATGCAGAGGAGTCAAATTCTGGAACCTTGAGGAATTCAACGCCATCTTTAGTGCCATTAGCTATATAATCGTCCTCTGCTGCAAGGCCAAGTAAATCAAGAATGACTTTCTCCTCAAAGGCAAATACATCAGCATCCCTCTTACTATCGTTTAAATGACATAAAATTCCATGGTTCTTCTTCATGTTAGTTTTTTATTCTGCTGTGTGAAGGGCACAATCATTGCATTCAATCTTCAAATGATTTAAAATCATTCATAGGGAATAGGGTTAAATTAAAAAAACATAGATTCATCGTCAGCATGCTCCCCACTTGACTTCTCAATGCATGTCTACCAAAATTTGAAAACAAAATATATCACCAAAATAAGTATGATATATGTTAATGGTGCAAAGATAATGGGAAATACATAGAAAAAAATGAGAACTTAAAACAAGTATGAAAGTGAAACAAGTCACTTGTAGAGTGAATTAGCTATTGAAGGTGTGGCTATAGGAAGTATCCTAATTCCTAAAGAAGATGAAAGTATTAACTAGTCCTGCTAAATTATCTTGGTATGTCATATATTCCATAAATATTTGATTGTTAAGCCATAGATCTTCATCTTCAGGGTCACTGCAGTTCTATATTCACTTCAAAACAATTGTTCAATGACCTAAGACAGTTAAACTAGAAACTGTGTGTATTAGAGTCATATACTTCTATTTTCACCATTACCTCCAATGAAGAAAAGATAGTTGGGCAGAAACATTTGGAAGAGAATTACTAAAAGAAAGATGTTCAAAGTGATATATCCAAAAGTTTGTAAAGGAGAGATAACTCTTCACGTGCACCTGTAGCTCATGCTCAACACAACTGAGAATTGTTAAAAGACAAATGCAGGACACACAGACCATTTCACAGAATTAATCCACAGCACAAATAAAAGCAGAAGCCCAGTCCAACAAGAAACTGCAGGGCACAAAGATGGTTTTTTTTACCCATAATAATAGATTAAGGAAAATGCAAGCTCATAATATCACAAGAGAGTATTAGTATAGCTTCATAATAAGTCATGTTTGAGAGCACCTAGCTCCTGGAAAGTTTTTACCTCACATGTCTTTTTAATCCAAGTATGGAATATATGCTCTTCCCATAAGCCAGAAGACACACAGGTACACAACACAATCAGACGCAATGCAGCAATTGTGGAACATATGCTCTTCCCACCAGAGCACTTAGTCAGAAGCAATGCAGCAATAGGACTCAGATTCCATCCATCAACAAGTTTCCAAACAGTGAGAACAATAATTTTCCATCACTTGCATACAGAGACTTAGCACTGATCTAAACCACATTTGATCACCAAAGACAATAACTGATATATGGAATCATGGTCATTTCTATGGTGCAAAATTCTTTTAAAACATATTGCTCCATGTATCAAACGGTGCTTACACAACCTATTAATCACAGCAATGTAATCTCTAATTGAAACTTCAAATCCATTCTCTACCATTTGCTGGAATAGCAACATTGCTTTCTTTGCATCACCCTTTGCACAATGTGCTTTTATAAGAGTGGTATAGGCTTGTTTTGACAAACTCATATTCTGATCTCGAAGAAAAGAGAAAAATGTATCAGCAACCCTTAGATCCCAAAACATACATAGACCATTAATGAGAATGTTGTGTGTGACATGACTGGGCTGAAGATTATGCCTTAGCATCTCATTGTATAAAAAAAATGCATTCTTCATATCTCCAGCTTGAGAAAACCCCTGTATGACAGTGTTGAAAGACTGTCCATCAGGTGAAAGTCCCTTGGCAAACATATCCTTTAGTATTTGAACAGATTTCTGCAACCTCCCTATTTTACAGTACGACTTCATAATCACTGTGTAAGTAACACAAGTTGGTTCTATGTGCTTTGCCTCCATTTCCCTAAGCATTTCAAAAACAGCTTTTATGTTTCCTTCTTCATAAAATGCATCCATAAAAGTTGTGTAAGTTACTGCACTTGGCACAAGACCATTTGAGTAAATATTTTTAATCAACTCTCTTGCCTCTAATAGGTTTCTTACCTTTCTAGCCTTGCAAAGCCCATATATCATAGAATTGAATGTGATTGTGCTCGGTGTAATTCCTCTTTTCAATATATATTCATATAGCCGACCAGCTTCTCTAACATCACCACATTTTACATATCTGTTGATCATAATATTATACAAAACAATGTCATCCCTCAATTCATCATTCGTCAACACATCAAAATACTTTCTTGCCTCTTTTATTAATCCATTCTCACAAAGGCCAAACAGAATCGATCTGTGTGCAAAAGAATTTGGATTGATTTTCTTCAAGCACATTTCTTTATACAATTGCACAGCCTCATGAACCCGCCCTTGCTTGCATAGAGCGTGGATGAGAATAGAATACATGACAATATCAGGTTCTAAACCATTGGCTTCAATCTCATGAAACAGATTTAAAGCATCATCCAGAAATCCACTCTTACACAACCTGTGAAGTAACATGCTGTATGTGATTTCAGGAATCTGAATCCCTCGTGAACGCATCTCGTCCATCAACCTAAATGCTTCACTCACATTGCCTATTTGACAATGCCCAGAAATTAATGTTGTGTAAGTGACAATATTGGGAAGTATATCTCTCTGCAACATATGGGTAATTATTTTTGAGCCCTCACTCATCATACCAAGCAAATGAAACCCTTTGGCAATGATGTTATAAGTCACTAGGTCAGGCTCCAACCCATGCACTTCCATGTCACTTGCAAGCTTAAGTCCTTCTTCCATAGAACCATCTATACATAAACCATGAATAAGAATATTATAACTACATACATCTGGATGTATCCCACACTTGAACATCATACAAAAAAATGATGTTGCAACATCCACAAGACCCACTTTACAGAAAGCTGACATGATGGAATTGAAGCAAACAACAGAAGTTCCAGATTCTCTCACCAAGATCGGTCTGCATAGACCATTGATAAGGATAGAATTTGTGTATTCACTTTGGGAAGTTTTTATTTCATTGTAAACATCAGTAAAGCAGAGCAACACACTATTATATGTCCTTATTGAAACTTGAAGATTCAAATCTTTCATCTTGGATAGAACAAAAAGAGCATCAGCAACCATCTCAGATGTCGAATAAGCACAGGCCAGCATATTCCATACCACATTATGAGCAACCCAATAATCGAAGTTATTCTGAAGCAACTCACAGAGTGCAGGTGCAGAACCAGAGCCTGATGGAAATTATAAGAAATCTATAAACAGAAAACAGAAAACAGGCAATATAATGTCAATTTTCCGTTTTAACTTAGAACTTTCTCCCTCTAACTAGATTTCAGATGTTTTCTATCTAGGATAAACACTGAGAATTAGACAATTAGACAATTCTACAGAAGTCATGAAGAATTCCTTAGCGAATAAAAAAATACAATTCCAAATACAAAACTACTTACCTTCTTCTTTAACCATTTCCTGCAAATGGAACTTCAAACCCCTTAATCGCTGCCTTCCCGCCAAAACATGAGCTACGACGAGGTGGCAGGACATGGAATGCTTAAATCCATACTTGTTCTTAGACAAGAAGAAGAAGTCGAGAGCCAGCTGCGGCTTCTTGCGCCTCAGCAACTCAACAATGCCCTCCATTTCGGAGGCATTCACCCCCGACACCCAGGCTTCAAGTGGCCGGTCGCCGCGTAATGTCGTGATAGAGGGAGCCTTGATGGAGACGGTACTGAAAAGGAAGAGGAGTAATTTTGAGACAGCTTCATTTTTAGTTGGGAAAAACTGGGAAGAGGTGGTGGGGTTGGAGGGCTCGTCGTGAGCGACGGCAACGGCGGCGGCGGAGGCGGAATGATTACAGAAGAAGGTAGAGAACGGGAATTGCGATTTGGGGAAGAATCTGATGGTTGATCGAAGCATTTGGCGAATAAGATTTTGTGTTTAAAACTTTCTATGGCAATGAGCATAGTATTTGAACAAAACAGAGGCACGGAGATAATGTGAATCTGAACTGACCAGGCTGCTGAAAGGAAAATACAACAATCAAATTAGCAGAATTTGTGTTATTCTGGCGGGCGGACGGTGACGGAATCGCCGGTGTTTGAGTTCTCCTCGCCGCCGATGAAGACACACGCTGGGTTTAGGGTTTTAGAAGGGGTTTGGAGGAAGTCATTAGTCATTTTTACAATTTACAAACATCACTCCTCACTTCTTCAGTCGGTTTAGAAAACGGTCAAAACCGTCAAAACACTACTCTCTAACTATATCTCAATATACAATTAGACACTTGAATTAAAGAAACTTTTAATTAAACCCTTAAATTAGTTAAAATTATGTAAACAACATATTTAACAAATGTTAATGATCTTGTGATTTAATAGTCCGAAGTGGCTTTTCCATATGGAAGGTTATGGATTTGAGTCTCAATGAGGTGCAGTATTAATAGATAGGAATAAGGTTCAAATTGGCCACTGAACGTAACCTAAAAATGCAATTAGGCCACTGAACGAAAAAAAAAATGCAATTAGGCCACTGAACACTCCAAAAACGTGCAATCAGGCCACTGAACTCTCCAAACGTATGCAATTTCACCGGATAGCAGGTTATCATCAATTTTAGCAGGTTACTTGCTTACGTGGCAGCTGAGTTGGCATTTTTAATAAATTTTAAATAATTTTTAATAATTAATTTTAATAATAAATTTTATAAAAAAATTGAAAAAATTAAATAAAAAATAAAATAAAGTCGTTTTTATTTTTTTTTTTAATTTTTTTAAATAAAAATTTATTATTAAAATTTATTAAAAATTATTTAAAATTTATTAAAAATGCCAACTCAGCTGCCACGTAAGCACATAACCTGCTAAAATTGAGGGTAACCTGCTATCAGGTGAAATTGCACATTTTTTGAGTGTTCAGTGGCCTAATTGCACTTTTTTTTCGTTCAGTGGCCTAATTGCATTTTCAGGTTACGTTCAGTGGCCAATTTGAACCTTATTCCTAATAGATATTGCATTATAACAGAGTTAGTAGAAAAAAACAAACATATTTAACATATTACCAAAAAGTAATCGGTTAATTTTGCTTACATAACATTTAACTTGACATTTCATTCAAAATCTTTTAAAAAAATTAATTTTTTATATTCCACAATCCAAACCAAACACATAAGGTAATCTTACATTCCGATAATCTCACATTACCTTCCTGGAGGTAATCTTATTACCTGGGGTAATTAAAGATTCCGTGAACCAAACGCCCCCTAGATGTAATGTTATCATTATCACGTTATTAATTCAACTGTCTCATGTACAATATGTTATTGGTGATGGTAGGGAATATCCCGACCGACATAGCTTCACCACGACCGAGATGCCTTTGTCCTTTTCTCTTTGTCTTTACAGGTAACAGGTCGGGCTCCTTGTGAAGAACCCGGTCGGGAGTTGCCCGAGCGACGGTGTCGACCGCCGAGCGGTAGCCCTTTGGCAAGAGAGCTGACGAAAGACACGTGGCGACTCTCTACGACGACAGACAGGGCACCCGGGAGGATGACACGTGGTGGCTACGTGGAGGACATGCCGAACGGCTGGAATCCTGTCCCCGGCATAGCGGCTATAAATACCCACAGTAGCTACAGTGTAAAGGACTTTTGGACGATCGATAGGTTGTTGTTAGAGAATCCCGACCGCAGCCAGTCGGTACTTAGAGCAACCAAGTAGATTGTACTTAGGGCCTTTACTGTGATCAATAAAGACATTTACTTGCTTTAATTGGTCTCTAGTTATTTCACATTGCTTACGTATAATTAGCAGTATCATTTTGGCGCCGTCTGTGGGGACCCGTGCAAGAAACCAACGTCTTGACGAGCACCCGGTCTCTATATCAACATGTATCCGTGGGCACACAACAACTTTGCCGACGACCAGGCGGATGCGGCGAGCTCCTCCGACCACTATGCTACCCAACAGCAGGGTCAGACGATGGACCTCAACCTCAACCTCTCGCCACCGCATCCATCCAACACATACCCGGCCGCTCAACAGTCGGTGAATTACATACAACCGGGATATCAGACGCCCGGTCAGCAATACCCGCAACCAATGATGTATCCCGGTCAGTATTCGTACCCGGTCCCACCTCAACCGTATGGGTATTGGCCAGCCCAACCGATGTATTATACTCCTCCGGTTGGTTACCCACCGTTCACGCCTGCGTACACGGCTCCAGCCGCCGCCCCTCCAGTATACCCGGCCGCTCAGGTAGAGCCGCAGCATCAGCCCACTTCCCGGGCTCGACGCTCGGCTCGTTCGCGGTTGGGGTCGGGGGGTGCTGTTGCGATGGAGGCACCACAGCAGGCCCAGCAAGCAGAAGAGGTTCTCGTCCGAGCGGAGGACCCTGAGGAAGTTGCCCGAGCGGTAGCTTTTGACCGTCTTCGACCAGAAATGCGGCAAAGATTGGGACCCCAAGATCCGAATCGCCAACCGGAAGACGTGCACATGCAGGATGCTAGTCAGGAGGCATCATCCGGGCATAGCGGGTCGAGATCAGACCGACGGCGACGTGCTCGGGAAACAGCCCAAGCCGTCCAAACCGCCGAGCTCAGCGAAACCCGAGGATTGCTCTATAACCTCCAGGCGGAAGTTGCGCAGCTCAGGAATGCGTACCCTGCAACACCCCCGGTCAACCAATCGACCCTGCACCAGATGCCTTTCACAGCAGCGGTAATGGCCCAACCTTACCCGCTTGACTTAAAGGTCTCTGGAGAGAAGAGTTATGACGGACGGGCAGACCCTGAGGCCCACGTGAATGATTTTTTCAGCAACATGATGCTGAAGGGCGTTTCGGACGCCGTGATGTGCAGGGCCTTCTACTCGACCCTCACCGGTCGGGCAGCAGAGTGGTTCCGAACCCTGCAACCGGGGTCGATCGATAAATTTGAGACCCTGGCGATCAAATTTGTAGGGAAGTTCATCACTTCCAAAGTGGTGAGAAAGTCCTACATGTATCTTGAGAAGGCCAAGCAGCTAGAAGGGGAAAGCTTGACCGATTTCCTCATCAAATGGAAAGCAGCGGTCGGGGAGGTCGAGCCTATGGACGATGCGACCGCCACCCATATGCTTCACATATCTCTCCGGGCGGGACATTTGTATCAAGACTTCATCCTACACCCCCCGACCAGTTACGAGGAGGCCCTTCGGAGGGTCACAGACTATGCCAACGCCGGCGAGGCGAACGCCGTAAAGCGCTTGCAGGAGGTCGGCTCTTCGTCCCGTAAACCGGCCGGCCGGGCGGAACATCGGTCGGGAGATGGCAATCCCCGATCCCGCACCAGGCCTGGCGAGTTTACGGCCTTGAACCGATCCGCAGCGGAGGCCATGCAGTACGCCCAGTCCTGCAATCTCATCAAACTCCCCCATCCCGATCGAGACGGCCCTGACAAGAGTAAGCACTGCGCTTACCATCGATGCGCCGGGCATGACACCGAGGAGTGTACCCACTTGCGCCAATTGCTGGAAGATCTGCTTAGTTCGGGAAAATTGGACAAGTGTGTGGGGAAGAGAGAGGATACCAAGAGGAATACCGATCGGAGAGATCACAGGCGTTCTCATCACCGCTCCGATCGACCAGGTCAGGACCGAAGAGATGATCGAAGGGACGACCGTCATGATGACCGACGGGACCCTGACCCTCCGTCTGGTAGCCGCCCGTCCGGAATGCCTACCATCCATGTCATTTTTGGTGGACTGGAAGATGCTTCCCGACCGCGGACTAATTGCCCGGTCGCAATAGTGGATTCCCGAGAGACCGGCAAAAGGCAGAAAATGGAACCCATAACCTTCACCCTCGAGGACCAACCTACCAGCAGTGACCACGGCATGGAGGCGCTCGTGGTCACGATTGACGTTAAGGGGACGGACGTCCAAAGGGTTATGGTGGATACGGGCAGCAGCGTGAACGTCCTTTACTTGGACGTCTTTGAGAAGCTTGGCCTCGACAGGAAGGAGCTGACTCCGGTCGGTGTACCACTGTCAGGATTTACCGGGGCTCTTATTTACCCCGAGGGAAAGATAACGCTCCCGGTCGAGATCGGCACACCTCCAAAGTCGATCAAGACGGAGCTGGAATTTGTTGTGGTCAACCTCCATTGCGTCCACAACATTATCTTGGGCCGACCCGCCATTATGAAGATCGGTGGGATAATTTCTATGCCCCACCTGTGCATGAAATTCCCCACCCCAATGGGGTCGGCGTGGTCCGTGGCGATGTCCAATCCGCCCGGAAGTGTTACACCCGAGCGGTCAACAGACGCGATTCCGGACCATCTTCCCGGGTGAACACCATAGCCAAAGAGGAGGCTAAGGAACGGAAAGAGCAGTCTGAGCCTTCCGGAGAAGTAGAAGAAGTTCCCATATCCAAGGACCGCCCGGATAGGAAGATTAAGATTGGCCGAGCCCTCACCCCCGAGCTTCGAGCAGAAGTTTTGGCCATACTCCGGGAGTATGCTGATATCTTTGCGTGGGGGCCCGAAGACATGCCCGGGATCGATCGGTCGGTCATCTGTCACAAGTTAGCCGTCGATCCCGCAGCAAAGCCGGTCGTGCAGAAGACACGACACCTTTCCTCCGATCGCCGCGAATTTGTCAGAGAAGAAGTCAAAAAGATAGCGGCGATCGAGCACATCCGTCCGGTGGTCTATCCCGAGTGGGTGGCAAATATCGTTCTGGTTCCTAAGCCCCCAGCATGGAGGATGTGCATCGATTTTACGGACCTCAACAAGGCCTGTCCGCTCGACCCGTATCCTCTACCGAGCATTCACCAGATGGTCGACGAGACGGCCGGGGCCGAATTAATGAGCTTCATGGATGCCTTCAAGGGGTACCATCAGATCATGATGCACCATGAAGACGAGAGCAAGACAGCCTTCGTGACCCCGGACGGACTGTATTGTTACCGAGTGATGCCGTTCGGCCTCCGGAACGCAGGAGCGACCTACCAGAGGATGGTCAACATGCTCTTTGCCGATCTATTGGGCCAAACGATGGAAGCTTACATCGATGACATGCTGGTCAAGAGTCGGGACCGATCCGACCACACTCGGGACCTCTGGGAGTGTTTCCAGATCATGAGAAAGTACCAGTTGCGGCTGAACCCGACCAAGTGCACATTCGCGGTTCAGACCGGCAA